CAGAAAAAGAGGATTGGGGGAAATATATGTTCTTCAACAACTTACAAACCAGGATGTTAGGGAATGAAACAATCTCTAGAGTTGTTTTCTGATCAAAGCCTGAGTTTTAAATCTTGAAAACCAAGACTCCCAATTCTTTAGGCATAGTCAAGAGGTTTCAAGCCTTCCAGTGGAGCCCCCTCTCCTAGTTCTCTCCTTTAGACCACCAGAAAAATCAGATGTTAATCTAGACATTTCCTTACAGAGACCTATCAGAAGTTTATGGCATGACATGACAAATACTAGAAATGCATTAATAACTGATTTTATAAGGACATCTTTACCAGCTGAAGAGAGTAATCTGTTCTTCCAGTTCTGTAATATGTTTTTCACTGCATCAAGTACAAACTGGAAGACTTCACTGCATCAAGTACAAACTGGAAGACTTCTCAACCAAGGTACCTGGTTGAGCTGTGGACTTTTATCCCTTGGATTCTTTTGTGTTTTGAAATTCTATTAATTCATTTGTTTTTCCTCTCATCCGAAGTTGTAATGCGCGTTCATAGTTAGTGTTGCATTTTTCTTATTGCCAACGACATTGTTTGTTGCGTGTGTGGCTTAAGTACTGAAACGATGTCGTTTCCTTGGCAAGAGCGTATTAAATGCTCCTGCTGCTTTCGTTTTTGCGCATGAATTGAACAGTGAAGAAAATGGCGATTCTGAAAATTTTTGTGCACATTTCGAATTCTATCGTGATTCCCTCGTAATTTCACCATCCAACTCGTCTAATTACATATTAGGGAAAAAGAAGGAACAAAATTTCTCGTATGTCGTCGCGAAGGAAAGACAATAAAGTTGCAAGATTAGTACAATGTCATAACAAGTACCAGAACACTTTAAACATATTGAAATAAAAAAAATGACATCAAAACATAATTTATTTCAATGAAATTATTTGTGTCCTCTGGAATCGGAAACTCTATTTATTATAATTTGTCATTCCAAATATTTGTCGCTCTTACATATGAATTTAGGATTCAGCATACTTGAGATTGGTGCAACAAAGCCATCTACTCTTATTACTATTCGAGAGTTTCATCAAATGCGACTCTTGTTTGTTCAACGGCGCCGTCTCACCGCGAGGAGAGTCGTTCCGGGCTGCCGAGGCCCGTTTCTTCTCATTTCGGGCCCGGTCAAAAATCACCGAGTACTGCCCAGCTGCACTCGGGTTGTTGACATCCCAAGATCCGAACTTTGGCAATGCTACATTCTCCCTTTCCGACATTTTTTCTTAAGACAAACAAACAACAAAAAATGATGAAAAAACAAAAAAAGGGGGAATGAGTTTGTTTGTTTATCTTCTTTCTCTACCAGGAAACCTCATCTCCCTTTTTTTCTTTTTTGTTATCTTCTGTTTTATACGTGTTTTTATACATGCGTGCTTTACGTGTACAATATCTAAACATAGTAATGAAATGTGTTTTCTTTATGGAGACGCTTTGTCGGGAGGATGAGGCTCACAAAATTTAGAAATATTATATAAAAATAGGGTAGTTACAAAAATTGCATTGGATAGGTTAAGCTTGATTAGAAAAAGCCCGCTTAAAGTAAATCAGTTTGGTGTAGTTTTAGTCCAATTCCAGCAATTTGCTACAAATGTGCCCATAATGCTAATTAGTTTCCCCTTCTTTACTTATGTAGTAAGTAAGTTCACTTGGGAGTGAATTCCCTAGGACGAGAATGGATAATGGTTGGAGCAATTTAACGGCAAAATTTCAAAATTGGTCATATAATTTAGCCACTGTCCAAAAAATCACCCCAATATTGACCACTTTCAACGTAGGTCCTATAATTTGTCGATTTCATCAATTTCGGTCCTTTTTATCCGCACCCTGGATTAAAAAGTGACGTGGCATGACGTGTCAGTTTTTTAATGTTACATGCCGTGATTATGATCTACGTGACACGTCAATTTTGGTCCTATAATTTGTCGATTTCATCAATTTTGGTTCTTTTTTCATGCCACGTCATTTTTTAATCCAGGGTGCGGATAAAAAAGGACCAAAATTGATGAAATCGACAAATTATAGGACCTAAATTGAAAGTGGTCAATATCGGGGTGGTTTTTTGGACAGTGGCCAAATTATAGGACCAATTTTGAATTTTTGCCCAATTTAACTATCTGTTTTGTAATCAACCGCACCAACTCTAAACATGTTTACACCTTCACATTTCTAAATGAGAAAACAGTTATTTTCATCCCTTCTAAAAAAATGAATAAGTTTTTCACACCGACAAATATTAAATTATCTTTTTTACCCCACAAAGTGCGAAACACATTTTGCGATATAGTATGTGACTTACAAACAAAAATAATTCATAAAGTGAGAAAAGCTATGCGACAGACAGACGAAGATAATTGATAGAGTGCGAAATAGTTATGCAATAATCTATGCGACAAACATACGAACATAATTGATAAAGTGTGAAACAATTATGCAATAAACTATGCGACAGACATGCGAAGATAATTGATTCAAAAATCTATACGACCGGCAGACGAAGATAATTGATAAAGTGTGTAAAATTTATGCGATAAACAATGCAACAAACATAAGAAGATAATTAATTCGAAAAGCTAAGCGACAAACAGAGGAAGATAATTGAGAAAGTGCGAAATATTATGCGAGAAGCTATGCGATAGACATGCGGTGATAATTGATAAAGTACAAAATATTTATTCAAAAAGCTATACAACAGACATGAGAAGATAATTGATAAAGTACAAAATAATTATACAAAAAAAAAATATGCGACAAACAGACGAAGATAATTGATAAAGTGCGAAACAATTATGCGATAAACTATCAAAGAAAATTGATTCGAACAACTACGCAACAGACAGACGAAGTAATTGATAAAGTGTGAAAATATTATATAAAAAGCAATTCAACAGACAAATGGAGATAATTGATAAAGTGCAAAACTATTGTGCGATAAACTAAATGACATACAGACGAAAATAATTTATAAACTGCGAAATATTTATACGATATGATATGCGACACACAAACGAAGTTCATTGAGTAAAGTGCAAAATAAATTATGAAATAAAGTATGCAACAGAGAAGTTAATTGAGAAAGTGTGAATTACTTATGCGATCAACTACGTGACAGACAGACGAAGTTCATTGCGCAAGTGCAAAATAAATTATGGGATAAAGTATGCAATAGATAGACCGTTAATTCTCGAATATTTTTTTGCTTGTGTTGCAAATAGATCATAAAATGCTCCATATGTATATGCCTAGAGCTTTTTTACTTCTTTTTTCTTTCTAGAATCAATCACGTTTTCTTTTTTCCCGATCTGCAGATGATGATTAATTTTATGGGAATTAACTTTTGAGCTCCATTGTTCTAAAGAGAAAGAGCTCCATTAAGCATTTGGGTTGTGGTTTGATTGAATTCCAATTCTACGGTGAAAATGATTGCGAGAAAAAGCATGGGGCGTGCTTATTAGAACTGGGGGAAGAGGGTGCGGTCCCACCAGATGAAGCGCACCATAAGAGGGTGAGCCTAGTTGCACCATAGTGAGATTCCATCACAAAACCAATTGGTGATGGGAGGGGTAGCCCACTAGGCTCATTAACCCTGTAGAATCAATGTGGGACAACTCACAAGTAATATTCCAACAGTGCTTCACCCTTCCTGTTGGTGTTGCTGGTTTTCTATCGGCTTCTTCATTGCAACTTATAATCTGTTAACTTAGGTGATGCACAAGACCTATAGAAATGTAACTGGGGAGTTAAATGATCCAGTTATTAAGAAGCCCGAAGTGTCGGGTGAGGGAGGTGTACCGAAGTTTTATGTGGCATTAACTGCCACAGATGCTCCTTACAGCAAATGGCAATTTCGGATTATGTATTATTAGTACACGAAAATGCGGGATGCACCCGGTTCGGATATGAGAGGTTTTATTCGGATTTTGCATTCGGAAAATCTTGATAATTTGATGGACGGGATTCTAACTGTCATTGTGGATCCTCTTCCGGACGGTCTTGATTGGGTGAGCCATGACTGACCACCTTTTTAGTTTTTCCGGATAATTAATCCTGATAATTAATACCGCACATGGGCATGAACACGTGGCATCACCAGATTGGTTCACGCCCCCCATAATCGCTCTGACATTCTGAGCAGAGGGGTTGTACTATCGGGTGGCTTGGGTAGCCAGCTCACCAATCCGGCAGTCTTCTAGAGGTAGGTGTTAGAGTAGGGTACCCGGCGTTCCAATCTAATTGGACGTATTCTACTTGTAAATACAGTCTATTGGAATTATATTATGAATAAGGCATTTCTTTATCTTAAGAGAAAGCATTTATCTTATAATTGCACTTAAGATAAAATCCCTAGATCACTTATGGTTATAAGGTATGGTTGCGCATAGAGATGGTGATCATGGAACATACCTTGAAAGCCGTGATCTTAAATACAGTTCCAAGTCGATGGATGTTTCGAGATGGGATATCGAATAATCCATAAAAGACTTGCACATAGTTTGTATGCTTGTTGGACAAGAATGTTGCATTCCATCAACATTAGCGTAAGACGTAAGTACATTTATGTGGGTGCTTGTTAGAGAACAAGTTCACTGAACATGACCGTATGAAAATTCTTAATGAAGAATTTATTCAGTCGAATAAGAATTTTCATGTTACAATAGTACATGACTAATCCTAAGACTTGAGGCACAATGGTAACTTTGTGCATATTACATTCTACTTTGATTTATCCTTTTGGTAGCTAGCACTATCGTTTAAAGGGATAAGTTGGGTATTATGTTAATATGTATGGAAGTTTGTTAGTGGCCAATAAAGGATTCGACACTTATGAAGATAAGTGAATTTCCTATGTGTTTCATAGTTATTAATCCAAAGTCCTTGGCCAAGGCAGAGATGAATAGTGATTCATAACCGGGTTAATAAACATGAAATAGAATCATAGTTATTAAGTCAATTTGGGTTTCGACAAAATCATACCCAAGACTTAATCGGGAAATTAGATGTCGAAAGGATTTTACATGTATGGAGTTGTAATCGGAATAGGTTTACTCGCTATTCACTTAATACTAGATTCATGCTACTTGCTAGGTGTTACCATGATATGTGGGTTCATAAATTAAAGGGTTAATTCATGAATAAGAGTTAATAAGATTTAACTCAAATTACAAAGTGTTGTAAACCCACTACTAGTATTAAGGTGAACCTAAAAGGTCACACTAATTATGAACAAAGGTAAAGATTGTATTTCTAATGGTTAGAATTAATTGATAAATATCTAATTTGATTAGATATCAATTAAAGGAATATATTAATCAATAAGATTGATTAATTACATTTTGGATATTACTTTAGTAATTAAGGTAATTACTAAATTAATAAAGTTGAATTTTAAAATAGGATTTTAAATTTCAAAAATCCAAAATAATAATAATATGATTATTATAATATTGGGAAAATGATATAATAATAAAGTCTTGAGAAAGATTCTCAAGATTTATTATCCAATTATTATTTATATCTTTAAATATGATTTAAGGATTAAAATAATAAATATGATTATAATAAAATGGTTGTTGATGGTTGTTTGAACTACTTAACATATCTTATTATTTTCAAAGTCAAAAGTTAGTAAATACTATTTAAATAAAATTTGATTTTATTTAATATTACTAAATGTTGATTATTTTATGCTAAAATGTTTAGTATAAATATATGCAAAATGGTTTTGCATTTAAGTGAAGTTTTTGATCCTAAATTTCTAAGTGTTAGAAAGAGAAGAAAGTGTTCTTCATAAAACTTCAAGAAAGAGTTCTTAAAATTCCCAAATAAAATTCATAAATATTCCTATACAAGAAAACCGAGTCTTTTCTACTAGCGAAGGAAAGTCGTCGGAACCGGGCTTCATAGGGTGGATACGTTTAGAGGGAAGACACTTGGATTCCTCTAGCGAGTAACCTCAAGTCGTTGAAGTTACAACCGGGAACCGATTCCCTCATCCATCATCAATAGTGAAGGAGTTCAAGACATTCGGTAAATATTTTTACTAGTATTTACTTTATAGTAACAAATCAAAATTTGTATATGATGCATGTTTTAAAGATGACGATCAGTTAATTCGCAATTAGTATGTACGGGTGTTGTATTTATACGATAAATACTTACTTTAAAAATTTTAAATTCCGCTGCGTACAGCCCGTACGGTACTATCGAACCCAACAGTGGTATCAGAGCCACGGTTATCGTCTTTAAAACAGATTTTGATTTGTTAAGACTTATGAGATAAGCAATATAATTAATTTTTTATATGATAAAAATATTAATTATAAAATTAAAAATCGTTTTTAAGCCACACGAGTCGTGTGACCTTGTCACACGAGTCGTGTGGCATGAAGAAAAATTTTGATTTTAGCTTCGTGATTTTCACACGAGTCGTGTGACCTTGTCACACGAGTCGTGTGAGCTCACACGAGTCGTGTGACGAGCCACACGAGTCGTGTGAGTCTGGGAAAAATTTTGATTTTCAATTCGTATTTTTCACACGAGTCGTGTGATAAGATCACACGGGTCGTGTGACCCTCACACGAGTCGTGTGACTCATAAATTGATATTTTATGTTCATTTCATTAGATGAATGTTTTAGGGATGATCATGAGCCTCATATTCATTATGTTTGAATGGATGTTTTCATTTTCAATATGATTGAATGAATGAATGGATGTTTAATTATGTTTTCAATATGATTGAAGAAATGTAATTTATCGAGACCTGCGAGTCTCTTGAGATGAAATTTGTAAAATTTTAAATTTTGTATCGTTAGAGATTAGATCAAGGTGGAGACCGTTCGATGACAAAGGCCCACGCATGTGTGGGTAATTTTACAAGTTGTAATCTCGAAGGCCTGTGCTTGTACGGGTAGATAGAATAAATGTAATAGAAGTAGTTCTATTATTTGTTTTATCACGTACATAGGCATAGATCCATTTTGGCTCGAATGGATCGAATAGGCAAGGACATGATCATCCCACCATGCATTAGATGTATGTTAGGTTTATTTACGCTTTCGTTTCATTAGGTGACTGAAATCGGTAAATAAACGTAAAGATGGTAATCGATGAGATCAAGGAACCCAAACGGATTAATTTGATTAATTCCATATCAAATCAATAATGGATAAAAATAAGTTGGAACTTATTAATCCCGGTCTTCCATCAAAAGTAGATGACATGAGATGCTACGATGTTTTATCATTGGCCACGAGTCGTGGGATGATTCTATGTCGAAAGCTGTGAACTCTATTAAATATATTGATATTCGTGAGATGGATTCCTCTTTGTGTTGACCATGAGTCGTGGGACACTCTGGTGGGCCATTATCATGAAAGTTTTGATGGGTTTGATTTGACACCGAGTAATATATACGGTCATAAAATTGAGGTATATAAGGAAAGGTGAGGCAAAACATCTTGAAGGTTGTATAGAGATACAATTGTCAAAAGTTGACTACCGATATAAATGTTCCATGCGTACTCATAAAATTGGGATATGGAATATTTTTATTGGACTTCAAGCCCACTATGAAAATTAGATTTTCATAATTAAAAAGGGGTTTTAATTAAAATAGTGGGAGACATTTAATATTAAAGACCTAATATTAAATGAATATAAATTCCATAGTTTAATTATTTTCTGCTTCGTTTGTTGTTTTTGTAGATCACTCTACTAAAATGGCTAAAAATCCAATTGCAAGTATCCTTGAACAAAACAAATTAACTGAACCCAATAAATGTTATCATTGTGGTAAAACTGGGCATTGGAAGAGGAACTGCAAGAAATATCTTGCAAGCCTGAAAAGTTCAGGTATTTATTTTGTTGAAGTTAACTTATCAGTTAACGAATCTTCTTGGGTATTGGATACCGGCTGTGGCTCACACATTTGCAATAATTTGCAAATTATGGCAAGAAGTAAAAAGCTAGAAAATGATGAAACAATCCTAAGGATGGGCAATGGGGCAAGGGTTGCTGCCAAAGCAATTGGGACTGTTTATCTAGCTTTAAATAATGGTGTAAAAGTTTGTCTTTCAAATTGTTTGTATGTTCCTGATATTATAAGAAACATTATTTCTATTCCAATATTGGATAAGGAAGGTTTTAAGTTTGTCATTGAAAATGGAAGATGTTCTATTTTCAAAGATACAACTTTTATATATTCAGGAAACTTGACAAATGGTTTATATACCATTACACCAGAAAGTCCCATCCTAACCATTCAACAAAATAAAAGGAAATTAGATAATCATAGTTCATTCACAATTTGGCATGCTAGATTAGGTCATATATCTGAAAAGAGGATTCACAAATTGGGACCAAAACTCGACCTTATGGGAGAGGATAGGTTGCCTACATGTGAATCATGTCTTAAAGGTAAAATGACAAAATCACCATTTGTTGGACAAGTGGAGCGAGCTAAAGGTCTGTTGGATTTGATCCATACAGATGTTTGTGGACCACTAAATGTTAGTGCTATGGGGAACTATCACTATTTCATAACCTTTACTGATGATTTTTCACGGTATGGTTATGTATACCTATTAAGGTACAAATCTGAAGTATTTGAAAAGTTCAAAGAATTCAGAAATGAAGTGGAGAAACAAATTGGTCGTAGTATTAAAGTCCTTCGATCGGATCGAGGAGGTGAATACTTGACTAATGAGTTTCTTGATTATTTAAGGGATAATGGGATTATCTCACAGTGGACACCTCCTGGAACTCCACAACTCAATGGGGTTTCAGAAAGGAGAAATCGAACACTGTTAGACATGGTTCGATCAATGATGAGTTCCACTAGTTTACCTCTTTCATTCTGGGGTTAT